GCACACCACTGCTCCCACACCCCTCCCCGGGGCGACCCCAGGTGCAGAGAGCTCGGAAGTGTAGGAGAAAGGGCGTGACGAGGATGGAGGGGGGTGCCGGGGGTCAGCCAGGAGGGGCCCGGGCCCAGGCGCCCTGTCCCCATGCCCCCGGGCAGCACTGCCCGCGTGGCGCCCGCGTGTGTCCACAGCAAGCAGTGTCAATCACTACCCCAGGCCCCAGCCCCTCTCCGCTCCCAGGAGAAGTGGGCATGGGGGTGCTTAGCTGAAAGCCCCAGGCGTCTCGCCCTGACTTGGACTCCCTGGGGGTCAGCCCCGACCCTGGAGCCCGCCGAGAGTCGCCTCGTGAGGACCGAAGCTGCCCCTGCCGCCCGGGAAGTGCCAAGGGTTGCAGGAGCTGTGTCAGGAGCGGGGTGGAAGACACTGTGGGAACGGAGCCCGGTCCCTTCACTGCTCAGGAGTCGGCCAGGGCCTGGGGCCTGGGAACCAGGGTGCTGCGCACAGGGCGCACGCCCTGTCCCATGTGGGATCTGGGCACTCACTCCACCTGCTGATGTCCGGAGCTCCCGTTGTGCGGGACAGGACGGTCCCCGCCTCTGGGCAGCTGCCCATCCCCCACCCCACGTGAACTGAACACCTTTGCCGGTGCCCGTTCCAGCCCAAGCACAGGTCCCAAGTTCTGCACCCTCACTCCCGAGCCACCGTAGCAGCCAAAAAGACGGAGCGGTAATTATGCCCGTAAGCCCTGTTCTTGTCATGTACACCTGCCAATGCATTCAAGGCAGGTGCGCTTGCCAAGCCTCCAGAATAGATTCTAGAATTTGTAAGGCCTCACGCGGCCAGTTCATCTGCGGGAAGCACTGGCAGCCGGGGGCCAGACACGCGGCGGCCTGGAGGGCTCGGGCTGCAGCTCTGAGAACCGTTCAGTTACAGCGGGAAATGGGCATCTTGCCCCCGGGCCTCAGCGCACCCCGGGTTCTGTGAGTGCCCAAGAGGGCAGGGGTCGCCCTGGGCTTGGGGAGGGCCTGGGACATGCAGCCGCCAAGAAGGACTCAGAAGAAAGCTTAGATGACGGCCCCCAAAAGAACATCGAGACTTTGGGGTGCAACTGCTTGGTTTTCAGTATTTGTTTACTTGAAAAGCAGAGCGACCTAGGAGAGGGAGAGGCAGATCCGCATCGACCCAAACCCTGTTCCGTTCACCTCCTCCCCTTACGGCAGCGTCAAGCTGTCCGCTGGCCGTGGTCTTGTGGAAATGGTTGATGTTGGTGTAATGATACTGATATTGGTGTAAACTCTGAACCAGTGAGTTTTTTTTTTTTAATTCTCCGAATTATTGAATTTCTTCTTTTCCAGTTTTTCGGGCTCTTCTCAATCATTGTAGCGTTTTCTGGAAATGCTTAGGATTGACTTGGATTTCTTCAGTCAATTTTGCTGAATTTGTTTAAAGTTGAGTCTAAGGGGCCGGCGACACAGCATCCCATGTGGGCACTGGGGTCGCGTCCTGGCTGCTCCACTTCCGATCCAGCGCCCTGTAATGTGCCTGGGAAAGCAGCTAAGATGGCCCAAGTGCTGGGGCCCCTGACCCACGTGGGAGACCCAGAGGAAGCTCCAGGCTCCTGGCTTTGGCTGGCCCGGTCCCAGCCATTGTGGCTGTAAGGGGAGCAGGACAGAGAGGAGACAGGATAGGAACTCGCAGCCAACACGAATCTATTCACGAAGGGAAATCGGTTCGCAGTGGTGGCCGGCCGCCGGCGTGGCGGAGGGCACCTGTCCCGGGCAGGCTCACCTTTCCCATGTCAGGGCGGGCTAAGGGTCCCGGTGGGGTGGGGGCACTCCCTGGAAGCGGGTCTCTTCCTACAGGTTTTTCGGGTTTTCTGCAGGCTTGCAGACCTGGAGAGTGCAGAGGGCGGGTGGGGCAGAGCGCTGGGGGTGGGGCTGGACCGGCTCTTGCAGGAATACAGGGAATCTGACTTCCTTTCAGGCGAGGAGATAAAACGGCTGAAGCTTGTGTCCTGGTTCCATCAATCCTGAGTCAGTCCAGATAGGGCGCCGGTTCTTTCTGGCTGCTTCCTGCTGGTACTGGGGAGTGGGCGCGGGGCGGGCTCTGTGCTCTGAATCCGACTGGCTGGGGGTGGAGCAGTCATTCGCCCCTGTAAGGACTTCTGAGATGTTGGTTACGCATGGTGGGACTCTCCTGTGATTGCCAGGGGAAAAGGAGAAGTTAGAGAAGCTGCCCGTGGTGGGAAAGACGGCCCAGTGAGGAGGACAGGGAGGGAAGAGGAAGACAGAGCTTGGGCCCCCGTCCAGGCCTTGTCCCCAGGCGCGTGCCCGGTTGCTGCCGAGAAAGACCGCTCCCGTCTGGTTTAGCCCGTGTGAGCCGGCAGGGAGCCGTGGGCTGGAGTTAGCCTGCCCGCTGCTGCTGGCCTGGGCTCCCACATTTCCTCCTCCTGCCTAGGAGCCCCGGCTGCTGTGGGGCTGGGCGAGCACTGCTCTGGCTCCTCCAGGCTAAGGGGGAGTAAGTAGGGGCCACGGCCGAGGCAGGGCTCCAGCAGGGGGACAGGGCTGCAGCACCGGCTCAACCACTCGAGGGCTCACGTGCAGGGCCATCTGGAACGTTCACCGCCCCGAGTCCAGGCGCTGGATCTCAAAGCCGATAACATGCCCAAGCACACAGAGGACCTCGGAAAGGCGCCGTCCACACCGGGAGGGAGTTTTCCCAGGGGGAGGCCAGCAGAAACCCACAGGAGGGGCCTGGTGATGCTCGCTGGGCGTGGAGGCCTGGCCAGGCGTCTGTGAGGTCCAGGCCTGTCCATCTCCTAGGGAGGTGTGGACCCACTTAGGGAAGGCGCCGTCGACTCCCACCAGCTGGCCGTCCTGAACAGGAGGTTCGTGTCCACTAGGCAGCATCTCCATAGCTGTGCCTGCAGGGTCACCGAGCCCCCGCCAGCCCCCTGATGGCATGGGCACTTTGGGCAGAGGGAAAGGCCTTTCCAGTCTGGGGAGGGCCGGCGGGGTCTGCAGCTCCGGCCTGAGCAGCCGGCCATCCTGGGGCCGTTCCCTATCCAGAGCTGACGGCTCGTCACAGGCTGGCTTCTGTCGCGACTGCTGTCTGTCCACATGGAAAACTAACGATGTTTGGGGGTGGCCTGGCCGTGCTGGCCAGGTCCTGGGTTATCTCCAATAGGGCGACACTTTCTAAATAGAGGGCATCTCACTTCCACCTCCATTATTTTCAAGCAGCCTTGATTAGTGTCCATGGATGGACAAATAAGGAAACAAATTTGTTAACACACCGCGATAGCTCCTTATGGACGGGACGGCGCCGAGGGTATCAGAGCTTACACTTAGGTTTATCTCGCTCACTTCACCCAGTTCACGTTTAGCGGTTACACCCGGAGGACCGAAGACGCCGATGTTACGTCATACTTTTATCTGATTAAGGTCGGAGTTGCATTGCTATGGAATTCTACTCCTTGTTGTAAAACTCCGCCTGGAAATCTTTCACATGATCCAGAGGTTGCAAAATCCACCTTAGGGGCTTCGACAGGGCTGAGGACCCCCCCACCCGCGCTGTTCTGTTCGGGTCAGCTGAGCCGAGCTCCGGGACAGTGGGCAGGCGGCAAGGCCAGGTTGTAAGGCAGCCACTTGCTAGAGCCGAGACAGAGAAGTTCCCTGAATCCAGTGTCCAGTGACAGCTGAGCCCATTCTCCCGCACGAGACTCACTCACCAAAGATGTCCCTTTAGGTTTTCAATTGAATTTGAGTCTAGTTTTTTACCCAAAAAAAAAAAAAAAAAAAAAAAAAAAACTTGGGCCGACGATGCCTGGTCAGCAGTCAGCTCCTTGGGACGTCTCTGAAACCAACGCGCGTTCAGTCCCAGGGTGGCTGGGGGCTGGGGGCCGGTGTGCCACGGGGGAGGACACTGGGGGTTGCTCACCATTATGCCAGGTTTAATGGGGGGCATCAGAGGGGGGGACCCCTCCGGATGGAGACATTGATGAGGAGGAGGATCTGATAGGTTATGGAGGCAGAGCTGCACCGGGACGTGGTAATTAACCCGGTGAGTCTGCTGGCTGGAAGGCCGAGGTCTTGACGGTTACTCCGCATGAGATCTCCGGGGTAATTTTGCCTTGGGGCGGGGGGGGGGGCACTGCCGGGTGGAGGGCTTCCCGGGTGTGGAGGGGCCTGCGTCCCTCTGGGGACCTCGCGATGCACTTGCTGGCGCCCCTGGTGCAGGGCGGGGTCAAGCCGAGGTGGCCAGGTTAAGCCTCCGTCTCCGTGAAATACTGGCAAAGAGGTTGGGGCTGCCCGTGGACAAGGCAGGGGAAAGACAGGCCAGGCAGGGAGCGAAGCTGCTCCGGGCCTCCCACTGCTCTGCAGCTGGCGGATGGAGGCTTTGCCCTGGCGCAAGGGAGAATTCGGATGTGGCTCCATTTTGTTGGGTTTTAGGGTTCGTAGAGGAGAGAGGTGGCTAAAGCAGAGACGGGGGGATGGAATGGGGCGGTGAAGAGAGTGGGGGTGAGCCCACCGGGACAGAGGGCGGGGGGCGGGGTTGAAGTCAGTCCTCTCTTCAGATGCAGAGCCCGGCGTGGGCCCCGAGAAGGCTCCTTGGTGCCGTGTACACTGCTGGGTTGTCCTAGGAGTTTGGAATGTTCCAGGCGCGGGGCAGAGGGGCAGGACGAGGGGGAGGGATCAGGAAGGGGGGCAGACGGGGGACAGGGCGAGCAGAGGCGGCAGCACCCCCCAGGGAAGAGGAAGGCGAAAGTCCGGGGTTCGAGAGGAGCCCCCAGGCGAGGGCTGGCAAGGAGGAGCCGTGTCTGGGTGCAGGGGGCCTCCAGCCTTTGCCGGTTCTCTGTGTGGAGGACTTTGAGGCAAAAGTGCCAGATTCTTGGCCTTATCTCCTTGCGCAAGCTCCTTGCTGGAAGTAGATAAAATCGGTTTCACCCTCTTTGCTCTTTCCAGAGACAGCTCAGCCCCACCCACCCCTGCGTTCTTTCTCAGGTTTGAAAACCTCTGTGCAAACCAGGAAAAAAACCCGTTTGAAGAAACACCTCCGTCTACTGCCCCCGCCCCAGCTGAGGACCCGTAGCCCACCCTGAGATACAAAAGGAGCCCACCGAGGACCGGGCCCTCGGCCACGTGCTCGCCCTGAGTGCCCGCCACACGTGGCCGCCCACCCCTGCAAGTGTATTTATTTTTCTTGAATAAAAAAAAGTCATTCTGGCTGCGAGTTCGTGTCCAGCCTCCTCCCTGTTCTGCACCCTTCTCCTACCCAGGCCGGGGGAGTTGGGAAAAGGGGAGACACTTTGGAGCCCGTGGATCTGGGGGACGGGCCCGGAGGTCAGCCCCTGAGGAGCCCCACGCAACCGGAATCTTCTCCCGGCCCTCGGCCCAAGGGGGACAAGCCCACCCCACAGCAGGAGGTGGTCCCCTAACAAGGCCTCCTCCTGTTCCTGGAATAACAGTGGCAGGACCAAAGTTACCCCAGACCTCCGGGTGGCAGGGGGCCACGCTCTGGGGCCACGACAGCGTGGGGCTCCGTGTGGCAGCAATGGGATCTGGCCAGGGGACCACGCTCTGGGGCCACGGCAGTGTGGGGCTCTGTGTGGCACACAGCGACGGGATCTGGCGAAGGGCTCTGGCTGAGACATAGTCAGGAAATTAGGAAGTGCGAGTGAGTTTGCCCCAGAAAGGAGAAGCAGCTTCCGGGGGGCGGGGGGGTGTCACGGCCCTTACCCAGCGTCCGAGGGCCACAGTGGGCAAGAGGCTGACCTCCCAAGTGTGAGGAGGGGTGCAGGACAGAGAGGAGGCAGGATGGCCAGAGTGCCCTGCACCTGCATGGGAGACCAGGAGAAGCACCTGGCTCCCAGCTTCGGATCAGCACGATGCGCCGGCCGCAGCGGCCATTGGAGGGTGAACCAACAGAAAAGGAGGACCTTTCTCTCTGTCTCTCTCTCTCACTGTCCACTCTGCCTGTAAAAAAAAAAAAAAAAAAAAAAAAAAAAAAAAAAGAGGGCCAGCGCCGCGGCTCACTAGGCTAATCCTCCACCTTGCAGCACCGGCACACCGGGTTCTAGTCCCGGTTGGGGCGCCGGATTCTGTCCTGGTTGCCCCTCTTCCAAGCCAGCTCTCTGCTGTGGCCAGGGAGTGCAGTGGAGGATGGCCCAGGTGCTTGGGCCCTGCACCCCATGGGAGACCAGGAAAAGCACCTGGCTCCTGGCTCCTGCCATCGGATCAGCGCGCCGGCCGCGGCGGCCATTAGAGGGTGAACCAACGGCAAAGGAAGACCTTTCTCTCTGTCTCTCTCTCTCACTGTCCACTCTGCCTGTCAAAAAATAAAAAAAAATAAAAAAAGAGAGAGAGAGAGAGAGAGAGAGAGAGAGAGAAGAGAGGAGGCAGGATTCGAACTCACAGCCAAAACGAATTTATTCAAAGGGAAAAGAGGTGGCCAAGTGCCGGAGAGCTGGGCCCTTGTGTCTTAGGCTGGGCTAAGGGTTCAGAGTGGGGAGTGGGGGGCGGCGGTCGTGTCAGGAAGCCGGGAGTGAGGCGGGAGTGGGGGTGCGAGGAAAACAAAGGGTCCAAAGACGCTCACTTGGGAAGCAGCCCGGGATTCCACACTACAAAGTCCTCCCCGCACCTGGTACCTTTCTAGGTGGTCCTGACGGAGGCGGGCGAAGGGATAAATTGAGTAGATTCGTGGGCTGGAAGCCACGCCTTCACCACGCCCCTGTGGGACCGCATGCCCCTGCCTGACCACACCTGTGCCCACCTGCCAATCAGACTAATTAGCCACGCCCCTTTGGAAGTGGATAAAAGGCCTGGGGCACCGTGGGCCCCTCCCTTATTTTCCCTGCTGCCCTGTGCCTTTGGGCACGAGGCCTTGGAGGATTGTGGCCTTCGAGGAACGTGGCCTTGGGGCGCGTGGCCTTGGGGCGCCCTCTCTCCCCTTGGCTGCTCTGCTACGCTGCCCGTGGCTGTAACTGAACGCTCCCTGCCCGTGGCTCCTGGCCTGCTCTCTGCTCAGTACGGATCCCAACTCAAGTTCCAGACTTCATTTCTCCCTTCGACAGGGCCCGCACTCTCCTAGGCATTTCCCTCACTAAATAAAAAGCTGAAAAAGAGCTTAGCCTACTGCCTGGCCTATTTGAGCCAGTATTCAGAATTCTTCTCTGCACCCGGGGCCAGGGCCCACGCCCTTACGGGTATGGGACGTATTGACAAGCAGATGGGTTTCAGGCCCAGGGAAGCTCCAGGAGAATCCTCTCTGCCCAGCACCACCTGGGGGCCCAGCCTCACCACACGGGCGATGGAGCCCTCACAGCCCCCCCAAGCAGGCCTAGGGGCAGCGCCTCTGCCCGCCCAGGTGGGCTCCCCAGTGGGACCTGGGGAGGAATCTCACCTGATTCACACCCAGCAACCCCTGTGTCCTGGGGCGGGTGGGGAGAACAGGACCCCGCGCCCTCATAAGCCCCGGTCTGAACACGGACTGCAGGCTCAGCTCTGCTCTCTGCTGGGCCGCAGCCGGGTGCATTCTCTGCACTTGACCTTGCTGACCCAGCGCTCTCCCGGGGTCGCCCCATCCCCTCTGACGGAGGCCCCGCCCCACCAAACCTCACTCACCCCTGGCTCACCTCTCCGTGTCTCCCGTTGGAATTCTTTCTTGCGCAAAGAACCCTCCCCACCCATCGCTGCTAACAGCCAGAGTTGAGCTGCTCCCTGCAGGTTTTTCAGGTTTGGGGGACTTAGAAACCTGGGGAGAACGCAGCTGAACTGGGCTCCTGCAAGAATGCAGGGCTAAAGGAGTCACCGGGGAGTCTGGTTACGTTCCGGGAAGAAACTAAGATGGCTGAGGCCGAGGTCCTCGTTCTACCAGTGGCCATCCGGGGGTAAGCCAGCGGATGGAAGACCCCTCTCTCTCTCTCTCTCAAATCAATAAAATAAATCTGAAATTGTATTGAATCTGTAGATGAACTGGGGAGAGACAGAGAGGTCTTCCATCCGGTGGGTCACTCCCCAAATGGCCGCAACAGCCAGGACTGGACCAGGCTGGAGCTGGGCGGGAGCTGGCAGCTCCATCCTGGTCCCCACATGGGTGGCGGGGACCCAGGTACCTGGGCCGTCACCCCCTCCTCCCAGGCACATGAGCAGGAAGCGGGAGGGGCCACACTGAGTAGCTGGGACTCTCCCGTTTGCCAGGCTTGGAAGCCCCGCACCGCAGTGCCGCCCCGGTGAGCTGTGCTCCGTGTCCCGGAGAGGAGGGCGCCTCCTGCCGGGGCCTCCCTGCGGGTGAAGACCAGATCGCACCTGCCAGTCCAGGTGCCGCGGGGACACGGGCGAGGAGGAAGCCCGGCGGCTAAGGGGCTCCCCAAGACTGGGGTGGAAGTGCTGGGGTCACGAAGCTGCCGGAGCCTGGGGGGTGAGTTCCAGGTGGTGGTCACCTCCTGCCCCAGAAGGGGAGCCAGGGGGTGGGGCCAGCCCCCTGGAGCTGCCCTGGGGGGAGGGGCGGTGTCCGCGCGGCACCTGGGCGCACAGGCAGGGGGGGCACAGGAGGCCGGGACCCATTCGTTCAAGGGAATTCGGACACTTCAGGGGCTGTGCCAGCGCCCAGGGAATGACGGGGCACGCGGGGCCTGCCCGGAAGCTGAGGGGGTCGGGAAATGTGGACGTCCTGGGGCTCTGGACTGAGGGCGGAGCAGTGGGAATTCTGTAGACCGGGAGGCAGTGTCACCTCCTCGTCCCAGGCCCTGTGACCACAGCCGTCACCTCCATGTCCCCCGTCACCTCTGCGTCCCAGGCCCTGTGACCACAGCCGTCACCTCCATGTCCCCCATCACCTCCTTGTCCCAGGTCCTGTGACCACAGCTGTCACCTCCATGTCCCCCCGTCACCTCCCGTCCCAGGCCCTGTGACCACAGCCGTCACCTCCATGTTCCCCATCACCTCCCGTCCCAGGCCCTGCGACCACAGCCGTCACCTCCATGTCCCCCCGTCACCTCCGCGTCCCAGGCCCTGTGACCACAGCCGTCACCTCCATGTCCCCCATCACCTCCTTGTCCCAGGCCCTGTGACCACAGCCGTCACCTCCATGTCCCCCCGTCACCTCCGCGTCCCAGGCCCTGTGACCACAGCCATCACCTCCATGTCCCCCCGTCACCTCCTTGCCCCAGGCCCTGTGACCACAGCCGTCACCTCCATGTCCCCCGTCACCTCCTGCCAGCAGCGTGGGCTCCCAGCGGGGGGGATCGACACACACCCCCAGGGCTGCTGTGTCCATGGTACTAAATTCTGTCTGGCACCCCTGGGCGCTCAGGAACAGGAAGCTGGAAGGTGACACGGTGGGGGGGGGGATGCCGTGCTGCCCCCCTCCCCCAGCCACATCCCTCACATCCCTCTCCAGGCACCGCCCTTGGCCAGAGGGGGCCTCCGCCCAGGAGGATGCACTGCCCCCAGGGTCAATTCAGGCCCCCCACACAGTGAAGCCAAGGGGGAGGGAGAGAGGGCACAGAGGACGGGGGAGGAGAGAGAGGCGACGGGATGGGGACCTGCCCGTCTCGGCCTCTCGTCTCCATGCCACGTGAAGGAGCCTCCGCTTCCGTGTCTGGCACGGCCCACCGGCCTGCGTGACTGGCGTTGCTGCCGCCCGTGTCCACTCTCCCTGCCCTCCTGCGCCCTCAGGGCTCCGTGGCGGGAAGGCCCCGAGTATCTTGGCCCGCGCCCCACGGTGGACATGGGCGGCTCCCGGCTCGCAGCTGCGACGCAGGCTCCGTGCCCCCTGCCAAGTCTGCACCTTGGAGCGGGGTGCCGGGGCACCGGGGCCTGGGTCAGGCGTCGGGTGGATCTTGCCGTTTTCCAAGTGGCTGAGCCCTTGGCTACCGCACACAGGCGGCCACCGGGGTGGGGAGCGGAGGCCCAGGCGGGGCCCGGGAGGCTCTTGCAGCACTGAAAATGCCTGTGTCTGGTCTGGTGCTGCCCTCGGCGTGCACTGCAGGCGGCTCGCCGGCGGCACGTGCGAATCCGTGTGGGTCACTCTAACACGGTGCTTTAGGACGGCGTTTCTGTAAACCACACGGGACGTGTGTCCCCCGGAGCTGCAGTTGGAACTGAACCCCGACCATGGACGACCCCACCCCAGAGGGCCTCCCGGTGACTGACACAGCATGGAGACCACGCCCCAAGGTGTGGCTCACAGCCTGGGCGGGACACAGCCGGCCACGCACTGCACACAGGGGT